ACACACACACATATATATATATATATATATATATATATATATATATAGATAGATAGATAGATAGATAGCTGATCGGATTGAGGAATCGGAGAGCCAGAGTTCGAATTCCAGTCGAATCCATCACATTCACTTACGTGCTAATACACTTGGGAAAGGTATAAATCCTCTTCTTCTACCCACCCCAGCAGGACAGACTGGGTTCTACAGCCTTCGATGGCAACTGGTCTAAATGACGAACTCTGAATTCAAAACCTGCGGAGGACCTAGTAGCACACGGTGCACCAGGTCTCTGTATTCGGCTCTTCAAGAAGTGTGGTTGGTTCTGTACAAAACCTTCACCACTATAATCAAATCATATGTGCAGGTTGTCTGGCTTTCGGTTCATAGGCAGTAACCCTCATACATCGTAAAAGGGTCCTCGGTAGGCGCGAGCCAACAGCCCGCGTCGACCAACGACGGGAAAGCGCACGATATATATATATATATATATATATATATATATATATATATATGTATTTTATTTTATCCCATGGGGCGTTAACGTTACGAAAGTTTTATTTGTTCATCGATAAGTATCTATACTTTATCATAACTTTTTATTTATTGATAATTTTTATTATTATTGATAAAAATAAAGTTATCAATTGAGAACACTAAATGACAAAATTCTACTCATCCTCGTTGCCAAGATGTTGTGACCAAGTAAATGGTTAGAGAAATAACAAAACAAGTGTTACAGATACATCATATATTAAACAGTAAGTATAAGAGAAGAATATTACACGACTAGTGAGTGTGTATCGGTTGACTCGGCGTTCAATCTATTCGACTTATACTTACGAGACTCTGCCCTTTGACATAGACTCATCTGGGGATCCTCTCAGCCTGAAGGTAGAGAGTTTGACCAGCACAGAACAGATCTATTCGACCATTCCCCCAAGCTTTCTCTCCTACTAATTTTATAGTAGGCGGAAGAGTCCAACATAGATTCTTTAGAGAGAGGACACCACAATAAAAACACTATTTTTCCACTTTAAGATCACCACCCCATATAAGCTAATTGAAGCGCTTTAGATTTCGTGAATTGATAGAAGTGTAGGAACGTTCGAAACGTGGCATGTCACGAACATTCTTTTTGCCACTTCTAAAAAAATTATACTCACATCCACTGTTTGATTTCTGTAAACTTTCACCAATAGTCGATCAATGTTCTTTGGTGTAATCGTCGATCAATGTTCTTTTTCGCATGTAAGAATTCATTGATTAATCATAGTTTTGGACTCATTTTCATATCAGACGACAATGTACCAGATTATCCTTCAGCTGGTATCTGCAATAAGGAAAAAATGGTTTATGTGCTGGAAGGTTTATCTTTTACCGCTACACCACCAATATTTGCTTCTTTGATTTCATGGACCAACATAATAAAATAGGAGGTTTTACTTTCGGAGCAAACTCTTTGTTCAATTTAAGTATAAATCAGTCAATTACATAAAATATGTGGACCGATTTCCTTACGTAACTGCATTTGTTTTTCTCTCGAAACAAATATTGAATAATATTTTAATGAACATTAATCGTTCAACTATTAATCATTCTTCTTGGATGAGTCGAACTATAAAATTTCAAAGTATTGAATATATGAATATATTTTATATTTGTTCTCGAAGTGACAAACCGAAAATAAATAAAAAAGAAACATTTAAAGCATATTGTACTGATATTTTTTATTTCTTTTTCTCTAAAAGGGAAGTTAATAAAGGAGTAAACATATTTTCGATATTTTTCGTGATTTTGATCGTTTTAAGCATTTTCGACATTTTCCGTAATTTTGAACGTTCTAAGAATTTTCGACATTTACCGTAATTTCAAACGTTCGAACAATTTTCGACATTTTCCGTAATTTTGAACGTTCTTAAAATTTCCGACATCTTCTTTAATTTGGAACTGTAAGAATTCTCGACGTTTTCGATAATTTTGAGCGTTCGAACAATTTTCGGCATTTTCCGTAATTTTGAACCTTCTAAGAATTTTTCGTAATTCTAAACGATCTAAGAAATTTTAAGAACCTAATATCTCTGTCTTTTCTAGAAATATTTTCATGGTAATTGTTCTGATGTGCTTTCCTCTTTGGTACCCCGACCGTATGAATTTAAATGTGTTACTAGATTGGTAACTAAGTCTCACGGTTTTACTGTTCAACTAGCTAGATGCAACAGTATATTCTATCCTAATAGTTTTTTTTTTCTTGTACTTCTCATGGATATCCCTTCTGATTTATCGCTTCCATGTTGCCTAAAATTTTCAAAAATTTAAATGCAACTCCAATCGCCATCTTCTGTCTTCCTGAAATCTGTTCTTTTATTGTCCTTTCTCCTCACTTCTTGTTGCTAAAATTTTCTCATTTACTTTCGCTACACAGTAACCCCTTGCACCCTAGTGGCATTATCGGTGAAATGATTAAAAAATAAAAATAAAACAAGTATTTGTAACAGCAAATAAAAGTAAAACGAATTAAGAACAATGAAAGCAAACAATTGACTGATTGGTTAAGCGGTAATGCAGAT